GTGTGTGTGTGTGTGTGTGTGTGTGTGTGTTTAAATTCATGTATTTTGTTCTTGCTATCACTGTTTCAGGCACACTGGCTTCCTGTCCACTTTTAGGCTATTCTGAGTTCTATTGGTCAAGGCACCTATTGCATAACTGTTCCCCTTTCTTAGGATAATCTCAGTATAGATGGTTGTGAGCCACCATGTGGTTGCTGGGAATTGAACTTAGGACCTCTGGAGCTTTGAGCCCTCTCTCTAGCCCCTTTCAGCAAATCCTACCGGCGTTCGCCACCACACGTTATTTCAGCAGGATACCTCTCTCTGGTGGTTTAGAAAGCTGCTCCATATCTTTCTGTCTCCAGCCGAAATTAGTAGTCAATAGCCCCAATTCCTAGCTGTTCATTCCTAGTCTAGTTCCTATCTTGGATAGCTTATTACAAATAATCCTTGTCTCAAAAGTAGTCACTTAGGAGCCTACACAATGCCTACTCGGGTGGGTTGACATGTAATACCCATGAAATGCAAACTCATTTCATAAGCCTTAAAATGAGTGAGTCTGAAATCTCAGTGTTCTTTCTATCCATTCATTGTTGAGATAGGAAGACCTACAATGAATTGAATTAAAGAAAATAAGTTCTTCAACTTAATGTCACTTATTTCTATTTTTAAATGTTTATTTGTGTGTATAAATGCACATATGTGTGCGTGTGGGTTTGGATAAATGCAGATGCGGGACAGATGAGGACAGATGGTGTCCTCAATCACTCTACCTATTCCTTTGAAGAAGAATCTCTCTGTGAACTGGGGCCTCATGATTCTTATGTCAGACTGGAAGCCAGAAAAACCCCAGGGATTTCTACGCTTCTCTCCTCACTTTGAGTGTGGGTTTGGGATGCTCTTGGGGTTGGGTCTTCTTATGTGGATGCTGGGAGGCTCAGTCTGGCCTTCATCATTGTGCAGCGAGTATGTCTAACTGCGGAGCCATCTCTCAAGCCCTATGACTTGTTTCCTTTAAATACAGAGAGTAGAAAACTTGAAACTGCTTATGTAGTTCTTGCTATATTAGTATTGCACAGTGCTGGTCAAGAAGTTCAAATCAATTGCACTGCTTTCTGCTGGAGTGTAAGGAATGCTCAATGGGAAGGAGGGAATGGGGGAATGCCTGTGTTAAACTTAAACTCTGCTCTCTCTCTCTTTTTTTTTTTTTTGATGTTTGCTTGGCTCATTTTGTGCTTATTTGTTTTGAGATGAGGTCTCTAGTGGCCCAGGAATTTTAAGTTTCTATGTGTCTGAGACTGTTCTTAGATTCTTGATCTTCCCGCTCTGAAGCTAGAATTCAAGAATGTGTCACCATGTTTGTCTTTTTCATTGTATATATAATTGACTATGTTCCTACCCTTGGTTGGTTGGTTGGTTTATTTGGAGACAGCGTCTTACTTTCTGAATCAGGCTGATCTCATATCAGCAATTCCCCTGCCTTGTGCTGGAACTATACTCAGGTGCAACCACACACCCAACTGAAGCATGCAAACTTAAAGAATCAATCCCAGGATCCCCAGGAGCCCAGAATGGGTCTCAGTTAACAGTATCACACCAGTTTCTTCATTTTGATCAAGGTTCCATGGTGTGTATGATGCTGGCATTAGAGAAAATTGGATGATTACAGGGACCTTTGTAATTTTGCTGCAGATCCAAATTCTTTCAGATAAAGATTTGAACAGCAACAAGGAAATAAATAACCCAAGCCAATTGCTCCAGCAGGCTGCCCTGCCCAGAGTGTCTTGTGACAGCCTGACTGGAAAGGAGCAGCTAGAAGGGTGTGGATGTCAGATTCAGAGTCTTTACCTGAGCTTCCAGGATGGTGAGGCTGCAGTGTGTGTATTGGGAATTCTTAGCCTGAGGATAGTTGATGTCATAGTTGGAAGAACAGTGAAAACTGCAAAGAACTTCCCTGAGGCCTGGAGCAGACAGGTCTTGAAGCCCCTCACCCTCAGCGCTGAGCCTTCCTTCCATCACAGCTCAGTCAACAGCAGGTCAGGAAAGTTTAGCTAAAATCTAGTGGTCAACTTTGGCCCAAAGGAATTTTTTGAGCCCTGCTGGAAGGTGCTCACCTTTGACCACAACAATGGGAGTTGGTGGTAGGAAAATCAGGAGGTCAGAGTCATCTTAACACTGAATTTCGGTTCATGGTCTGTCCAGATACATGAGACACTGCTTGACTGACCTACTACCAATCTATATGAAAAAAAAAACCTGACATATAAATCTATCATAGGACAAACATATTGCAAACAGGCTTTTTCCTTAGCCCACTAACTCTTATTTTTGACTGAGGAGTTGTATGAAGAAGTTTATCAAACAGTTAAAATCAATATTTCACAAATGGCAAGAAAGAGACACAAGGATAGTCACAATGACATTGTTTATAAGAAAACATGTGTTTGGCAGCATGCTAAATGTCTACCAGTGGGAAGTTAGGCAAGTAAATATGTTGTATCCATGCTATAAGCTATGAACCTGATTGATTCTCCCAGTGTGGAATACGCATGCTCAGCCTCAGTGCTATGGAGAAAATCAAGGTGCAGATCCATGCATGCAGAAAAGGTATTTAATAGGAACAGCAAAGTGTGCAGAAGGCTTTGATCTGGGGGCTCTAGGAGGGGCAGCATGGGGATGGAAGAGTAGTAAAAGGGAATCACGACTCCACACACATCTCAGCTGGCTCCACTGCTTTCCTGTTTACCTTCTTACATATAAATGCATTATGAAGTAATTAATGTTAAACAATGAAACAACCTCCAAGTAGCTTGAAATGTACAGTTTCTTATTTGTTAAGTGTGTTTTTCACTGTGTTGATCTCTCTCTCTCTCTCTCTCTCTCTCTTTTTTCTATAGTTTATTAAAAACACAAACTCCAACTATATCAAAAGGAAGCATGATTATGTTAAAGACAGATCACACACAAAATAGATTCCTATTTTTATTTTTATAATGGTATAAAAATCATTGGCTCAGGTCTTACTCAACATCGGCTATTAGGGCAACACCGGCTGGGGTGGGGATGTGCATTCTGGAATGTTACCACAGCTCAGAGACCTCTTACTGGTCACTTCATTGAAATGACCTCTCTCCACCAAGGTTAGTGTGGACATAATAACAGCAAACAGATAGGGAAAACGGTAGTAGTGGTTGCCACTACTGACAGTAATTGGAGCCCATGGATAGGACATGTCTTCCACTGAGTCCCACATACTTTCACAGAATGTCACTAGTTACCATGTTCTTGAGCTCAAGCAAGTTTTGGAAATGCTAGGTTGGACAGCCAGACAGATTTCCAGACCCCTTCATGTCTATCATGCATCTCTAGGAAGACCGAAGAACAGAGCAGACACCACAATCAGAGCCCTGCAGCCACCAGGCAGGAATCAGGAAGGAGGCAGGAGAGGCCAGGGGCTGATGGCCCCCTCTGGTGACCTCACGACTGATTTGTCTTGACAAATCTTTCTAGAAAAGCTACAAATCCAAGCCCTCACAGCAAAAGTCCAGTTTTGATGTTTCATGTTTTGAGAGTTGCCTCAAATTTCAGAAAAAAGAAAATTAAGAAATGAAAGCATCACTGTATACCAAAGAAACCCTGTCTTGAAAAACCAAAAAGAAAAAAAAATCAGTGGTTTAAACACAATCATTTTTAGAGCATAAAGAAAAGCCCCATTTGGCAAACCCAGAATGCAATTTCCTACTATGTGACCTCCCCAAGAACCCCCATCAGACACAGACTCATTTCCTAGAACTCAGTAGAACAGCGGTGCAATGTTGGACTGAGATCCACCCCTGCTCTCCGATGGGCTGAGTGTCTCTAACCGGAGTCAGGGCTTACTCAAACTGAAATAGAAATTAATATCCTCTAGCAAATCTTCTCTTCTCTACAACCAAAGTGGCAATGAATATACCAGCACAACAGCCTTTGATAACTCCAACAAAACCCAATATTTCATTGATTGTGACAAACTGATGTACCATGATGAATGCTTTGTCTTTCTGAAGTAAATTTATTTATACATACAATTTGGAAACAATTAGAAATTTAGAACTCTGAATAAAACCAGTGCTAGCCCCAATTCTGTCACATGTGAAACATTACTTCTCCCAGGCAAAGCCTGTGTCCTGCTCCCCCTTCCCCTTTATCTCTGCATTGCTTCCTTCCAGCTCCTGATTCAGAGCCCAGTGGTGAGAATAGGAACACTGGGCATTGAGTCAGCTTACAAGGGAAACAGCACTGATGACCTCAACCCCTTGGTCCACTATTTTCTTCCCTGATATCTGCCTCATCCATTCTCACCATGGTAACCTCTCTTGACATGAAACACCCATCCTTATTCCAAGATCAATCCCATAATAAATGTATCCTATTTCCAGAGCTATGAGAAAGCATAACCAACTCTAATGGTAATATTAGATCTCCTTCTACTATTTATTTATGAGGGAAATTAAAAACTGCATGTTCCCATGATTTTACCCCTTGAGAAGAATAGGGAAAGTGACATTTCAGATTACGATGAGAGATAAAACATGAACATGAAACATTTCTAAATTTAGTATACCCCTCCCACCCACCCTCTCTCTTTTTTTTAAATCTTTCAATCCTATTCCTCTTAATGGTTTTAATAATCAAGGCAGGAGTATTTCCTGTACTACCAATGACTATAATGACTAAGGAAACTCAAAATTCTAAAATGTTTGTTTGAGAGAACGTTCTGGAGTGGAGAGACTGAGGCAGTGTTGATATAAGAATTAGGATTATGTGAACGGTGAGTTTGAGTATAAACAGCGGAGGGTCACCCTCTCCACCACTGCTGGATGAACCGACACAGAACATAGCCCTGCATCTGGAAGGCTGTTTGTGCTGTCAAATGCAGTTGCTGTCTTTGCAGTCTCAGGCAGAGGGCTCCTTAGGGGACCACTGGGACTCATTCAGTAGGAATAAGAACTGTCTTCAACAATGTAGACGTTGTCTTCACCTCAGGGCCACACAATCGCTGTGTTTTGCAAAGCTCCAATCTTCGATACAGGAAATGCCACCAAACTGCAGAGAGAGAGAGAGAGAGAGAGAGAGAGAGAGAGAGGTTTAAGAATGAACAAGAGGTTACCTTTCAGGTCTGAGCAGAACATTAATTTATGACATATGCTCAGGACTCCAAGAGAACCATTCATAAAACTATGACAGCGAACAGGGCCACTGGCATTAAAGTCATAGGAAAGTTCTTTTGTTGCTGTTTTTGCTTTTATAATAAGCATAAGATTAAGAATATTTTTTTTAAAAGAAGCTCATATTGGAATCGTTTGAGATACTAAAGTAATAAAACTCAAAAGTAGGAGATCTAGAGAGGCAGATATCTTGGCATCAAATTTAGGTATCTAATCAGGATGTACATTTTGGAACTGGGCTAGGAATGGGATATCTCATGTGTTTACTTTGCACTGTGACACTTTAGAAAGACTTAGAAGAGCCTGGTGACCTGAGTGAGATCCCTGGAGTCCATGGAAAATGCAGAAGGAAAGTCCCAGCTCCACGGTGTTGTCCTCTGACCTCCACAGATGCCACACATCGCTCCCCCCCCCCGCGAGATAAACATCATGCACACTGTTTTCTTTATTGAAAACACAATTTAAAGAAAACACAAAGTTTTCTTTATTGAAAAACTAAAGAGTATTGAAACCTGCATGGCATCTAATCCTCTAACATTAAGCATGGAGTAGAAAAACAAGTCAAGTCACAAAGCAGTATCTTTGGCCTGTAGCTGCTGCTCTGGGGCAAAATTTCAAGGCTACTGTATGCCACGCATGCGCGTGCACACAAACAGCAGGAACTGCACTGGAAGGAATTTGGGGAGAGCACAGCAGGTCTTTTCACTTCCCCTCTCCTGCCTATCCTGACAGCTGTGGGAGGGGCTTCCCTGGGAGAGCTCATTCTATACCCATGATCATCAGGGTGGGCACAGTGGACTGATACTTGAGCTTCTAGATCTCATGGAGGAGCAAACCAGAGAAGAAAACAGACTAACTCAGGGGTGATGCTTTGACAGTGGGGTTTTGTCATTTGTGGTCATTTCTACCACTGAAATGTAGAACCGAAATGAGCGTCTCCAGTCGGCCACATGGAACAAACACCTGTGCTGAGAATTATGAAGGACGAGAGAGAGCAAGCTCCACTCTGCCTGGACAGTCACACATGAAGAGAAACAAAGTGTAGGGTCAGGACTCTCGTGCGTCCGTGTGATGGAACTGACAGAAAAAATCAGGAGAAAATGCCCAGAATGTGTTATGTCGTGGTTACTTTGGTTTTCTGGCTTTCTTTCTAGCTTTTTATTTATTTTATTTATATTTTATTCAATCATTCATTCATTTGGTTTAGTCAGGGTCTCACTATGTTTCCCTGGCTATCCTGTAACTCTCTATATAGACTCACCTGGCCTGGACTCAGAGCCCACCTGCCTCTGCCTGCTGAGTTGGAATGAAAGGTGTGAGCCACCACACCTGGCTTTATTTACTTGTTTTCAGACAGAACATTGCTAGAAGTCTGGGCTCTACTTAAACTTACAGTCCTCCTGCGTTAGCTGACTGAGTGTTGAGATAGTAGTGCGTGCCCCCTCACCCAACTTCTCCCCTCTTCTCTATATGTGGTGTTTTCTCCAGTTTTGTTTGTTTGTTTGTTCCCACGTGGGAGCACCGGACAGAAATCTCAAGGTCAAAATCAGGAGTAGAAGGAGATGGAGCACAAGCAAGGAACTCAGGACCACGAGGGGTGCACCCACACACTGAGACAATGGGGATGTTCTATTGGGAACTCACCAAGGCCAGCTGGCCTAGGTCTAAAAAAGCCTGGGATAAATCCGGACTAGCTGAACATAGCGGACAATGAGGACTACTGAGAACTCAAGAACAATCGCAGTGGGTTTTTGATCCTACTGCACGTACTGGCTTTGGGAGAGTCTAGGCAGTTTGGATGCTCACCTTATGAGACCCTGAGAGAGGTGGGCGGTCCTTGGGCTTCCCACAGGTCAGGGAACCCTGATTGCTCTTCGAGCAGATGAGGGAGGGGGACTTGATTGGGGGAGGGGGAGGGAAATGGGAAGCGGTTGAGGGGAGGAGGCAGAAATCCTTAATACATAAATAAATTAAAAAAAAAGTAGCTTTGGGGACTGAAGAATTGATCAGCAGTTACAGATGCCTGCTGTACAAACAGGACAAGAGTTCAGATGCTGCCCCAGGTAACAGGAAGAACATCTCCTGCATGCCTGTAACCAGCACTGAGGGAGATGGAGGCTGACACCTAATAAGAGCTAACACTTAATCAGGCACTTCTAATAGACTCAGTCTATTGCTTGGTTCTCTTGTTTATCATAGACACAGGCAAGTCTATGGAAGGAAGCCTGAAGGACATGGGTTTTGACCAAAAGAAATGGCCCTGTGTACAACCAATTCTTTTGAGAAATTAAGAAGATTAGATGGTTATAACCATGCAGCACGGGAGGTACAGTGGTCTTAAACTGGAGAGACTAACAGAGCTCCCCAAGTATGGTTAATTGAGGAGCCTGCAAGGCGGACACCAGTGTCGTGAGTGAAGGGGACTGTTAAGAAGTGTGGAGACCCTGGCCATACACAGTTCCTTTACTCCCCTGGGAGCCTCAGAAATGATCTTCCACTAATCTTCTGCTCCCTTGACTGTCCTCAAACAGCTCACTAGCTAGCCCTGTCATCCCCAGCACACTTCCCTTAAAGCACCTAAAATGACCTTTCTACTAGCTTATATGATATACGTCTTCGGATTTTTATAGACTAGGTGCTCAATGAAAGAAAACACTGAAGGAAACAAGAGTGGGTCAAAGCAACTTCTTCTGTACCAGCTCCAGGAAGCAAAGCTTACAATTCAGTGTCCACCTATAAGAGATTAGGATCAAGAGGCCTTCTGTTTCTGTCCTACCATAAATACATAAATACAGAATGCAGAAAGTATCTCTGAATAACAAAAAAGGGACTAAAAAGACTTATTTTGAGATATAACATACGAATGGGGAACAAGCATTTTGAAACACACCTGTAATCCCAGAGTGAAAGAGCCTGAGGCAGGAGGATTGTGAGCTCCAGGCTGGCCTTGCTACATAGCAGGTTCCAGGCCAGTCTTGACTACTTAGTGAACCCTGTCTCAAATCAACCAACCCAGCAATGAATCAATTAGTAATGAATGATTTAGTAGCAAAAGAGAGCATAGAGATATTCTCAAGATTGTTAGTTCAAAAATAATCCACATAATCCATGCCAGCTTACCTTACAGACCCCGACTTCTTTTTCATAAGGATGTACCCTAAATTGGGGTGGGAAAAGGTGGGGGAAGTTAAAGAGAAAATTGCACATATCATCAGAAACACTCATGACCCTTTCTCCTAATCAAGGATGTTGTCTCTGTTTTTGGTTGAACCGTCCCTGGGTAACTTTGGGTGATTCCTTCCCATCCCTTGCAGGAAGGATCTTCTGTCCATTCCCTATCTGGTGTAATCATCCATGTAGCCTACCATACTAGAGTGAGGGTGGTAAACTTTTGTTCACTGAGACAAACAAAGTCTCGAATCTGCCTAATGCATTGCTGGGGAACCAGTCCTTGAGGGGAGAATAACAACTTTGGACTAAGGAAGGAAGGCACTTGTGGTATTCTACTCAATTTCTAAGTAATTCTTCCTTTTAAACAGCAGCTCATGTGCAGCCCACGCTAACGTCAGACTCGGAATGCTGGGATAGTAGGCACACGCTACTAGTGCCACCTAAAATAATCGTTTCAGAAACACGAGCTCTGAACAGCCAGAGGGAAACAGTCTGAGGACTGACAGGCATATTCTTGAATTTTATTTTTATTTATTATTATTTTTTTTTTAGTTTTTCAAGACAGGGTTTCTCTGAGTAGCCTTGGCTATCTTTGAATTTGCCCTGTAGGCCAGGTTGGCCTCAAACTCAGAGACTTTTCTACTTCTGTCTCCCAAGTGCTGGGATTACAAAAATTGTGCCAATCACAGCTAAGAGACAGGCATATCCTTATTTCCCGTTTTCTGTCCAGTCACATGAAACAGGTCAGTAATGGGCTCATGTACAGTGTTTTGTCAAGTCCGTGGCTGAAGTTCTTCCCCAAGGAATAGACTTCACAGAGAGAAACACTGTGTACAGTTGCATAACTCATGGAAAGAGCCCTGTAGGCCTGGGTGTCACCTTCAAAGAGTCTGCTCCAGCATTAGACAGGGGGCTTCTTCCCACTAATGTCTCATCTGCCTCTTCTACTAAGTATATTCCAGAACATCAACAGTATCATTGTGGGAAACAAACGAGATCTTAAGCGTAGGACAGGAGGAAACACACCAGTGGTCTGATAGTGGCCTAAGAATGTCAAGCCTACCCAATATCTGTTGTGTCATGGTGCTTCATTTCTCTTATGGAGAAGATAGTGTTTCCTTTTAATGGCAACAACTGAAAGACAAAGGAAGGACAGGGTTAGGAACAAGAGTGTTGCCAAGCACTGCAGCCTATTCATGTGAGCCCAGCACTGGGATGTTGGAGGCCAGAGGATCTGGATGTTTGGGGTCATTCTCAGCTACCCAGTAAGGTCTGTACCAGTGTGGAGTACACGAGATCAAGTTTTACAGAATAGGAATCTTTGGAGACACAATAGCAATGGTTCAAGGTCACTGAGCAGAGCACTCACCAAGCACCAGAAATCAGCCACAGAGCTTTCTGCATCCTAACATAGACCTTTGGGAGTGGATGGTTTAACATGAGTGTGTTGGATCTGAGGATATGAAAGCCATGTGAACTCAAAGCCCCTATGGCATGTGTAGTTGCTTAAAGGCAGTCAGAGAGCCCTGGCTCTCCTTCCTCAGGGACAGCTGTGAAATGACTTACTGGTGATAACCGCGGTGCACAGGAGCAGCAGCAACAGCAGGGCAGCGGTGGAGATACTGATATAGAAGTCCTTTGTCATGTTCTGTGCCATCCCTGAAGGGACTGATTCCTAAGGAAACAATAAATAAAATAACAATAGCAATAAATAAACAGCAGTAAACACAAGGGAGGGACATCAAGTGAGAGGAACAGAAAACACATGCTTGACCTTATCCTAGACTCTAGGTCCTAGAACTTCATCTTTACTGGCCTGTGACTAGTCCGGAATATGCAGGAAAACCCAAGGATCTGAAGTGGTAACAGGCAGTGGAACTCAGTGATTTCACCAATGTGAAATCCGTGTCTTTGGTGATGATGGAAACATGGTCTATGTTGCTCAAGGTGATTACACAGTAGATGCCTCAGTCAAAATTCTAACCTCATGCTTAATGTGGGTTCAGACATGATATATGTGATTATGTCTGCTTTCCTAGTCTGTAGAAAAAGAGTATCTTACCTCTAAGTTAACTGGCTCTCTGTGTGCTCAGCCCCTGGTCTGGTTCTTCAACACAGACCCTACTTGTCTTGTAAGTGCAACTCAAGATTCCATATCTTTATAAACATCTAATACCAAATGGTCAGCATGGACATGTACACACAAATAGGATACATACCGAACAGGTTACATTTAACTAGTATTACAGATTCTTTTCATAACTGCCAGACCAGTGAGTACTAATGCTAATTTAGTCATTATATTTGTAGTGTCAAGCTGGGCACGTGACACAGGCCTGCAATCTCGGTACTCAGTAGGCTGAGGCAGGAAAATTATGAATTCTAGGCCAGCCTGAGGTGTGAAATGAGATGAAATGATGTGGATTATCCTTGTCCTTCTGTATGCTGAAATATGCATTGCTTTTATTGGTTGATGAATAAAGCTGTTTAGGCCAATAGCCAGGCAGAATATAAGTAGGTGGGGAAATCCAAAAATAGATGCCTAGAAAAGGAAGGTGGAGTAAAAGAGATGTCATGTAACTGCCAAAGAAGCTACATACCAGGGCATTACCAGGATCCCACAACCACGTGGTGATGCACAGATGAATACAAATGGATTAATTCACAGGTAGACCTAGCCACTAAGTAGCTTGAACCATTGGTCAAACAATTATAATTGATATTGAGCCTCTGAGTAATTATTTCATATGGGGCTGCGGGGACCAAGCATGAAAGAAACTGGCCCAGGAGGGCAGCGGGACAGGAAAACCTTCCTTACAATTCTCAAAGATGGGGGGTTCATTATGGTGGGTTTCATACCTACAATTTCTTTCTTTCTTTCTTTTTTTTTTTTTTTTTTGGTTTTTCGAGACAGGGTTTCTCTGTGGTTTTGGAGCCTGTCCCGGAACTAGCTCTTGTAGACCAGGCTGGTCTCGAACTCACAGAGATCCGCCTGCCTCTGCCTCCCGGAGTGCTGGGATTAAAGGCGTGCCCAGCCTCATACCTACAATTTCTTGAAGACAGAGGCAGCTTCAGGAGTTAAGGGTCATCCCCAGTTATGCAGCAAGTTCAAGGACAACTGGACTGCACGAGAACCTTCTCAATAAAACAAGCAAAAGAAACTTACACCCAGCCTTTCCTTGCATGTTCTGTCAATAGGTATAAAAACAGTAGGCCATTTGGCCCTATATAATATCCTCACCTTGTCTTGAGGATTTTATTGGTTGAGTAGTTTTTTGGAAGCTCTCAAACCCAGTGACTTGCACATGCTAAAAGGGGCTCTGCTACTCAAATAATCTTCATAATCCCTATTGGGCTTTTTTCTTATTTCAACCACTATTTCTCCTGCACTTCTTACACAAACTAAAAATAACCTTGTTTCTTCCTGGAGCCAAAAGAGAAAAATTACTACTCAGATATTACCTATCCTATTTGTAAAAATTGAATTCTGACAAGAATCCTGCAACCGGAGTTCCTTAGATCTTTTTCTCAAGCTTACTATTGAGAAAATCTAGGGGGGAAATTATGCAAAATTGAGAATGTTTAGTACATTAATACTTTATCTGGAGTTATGTGTGTGGAAAAAATATCACCAGTGGACTCCAGAGAGAATGGTCATTGGGTAGAAAAGCAATATTAGAGGACCCTAAATGAACATCTAGAATTCAAACATCCTTTGTAGGCATCAAACTCTTAATTTCTTTACTTTCATATGTCTATTAATTTATTTATCTACAGTTTTTGAGACAGGGTCTCATCATGTAGTCCAAGAAACCTAATGGTGCAGGCTCATCTCCAACTTCTGATATCTTCTTCCAATTTCCTGAGTTCTAAGACTAAGGAAGCTACCACTAAATGACTCCTTTTCTTCTCTTCTTCTTTTTTGATGCAAATATCTATGAACTAATTTTACAGACATAAATTTCAAATGCAAATTGTTTCCTACAAGGTACACAAATGAACATAGCTCATAAATATGGGAGAAATATGCTTACAGTGTAATTATGCCAAGAGTTGTCTGAGGATGTCGCAGTATTATTCCAATCTGCTCAAAAAAAAGGAAAATAATTATAAATACAAGAAATTAGATTTTTTTTTTACTACATCTGCAAATAATACCCCATAAGACTAATATGTCTTATGCCATGTAAGGGATGGGAGTTATATGGCAGGATATTCACTGACAGAACAAGTTTTGAACATTTAGAAATTTGAAGTATGTTTCAAATGTCTAATTTATAACAAGGAATCTATTCTTTTCATTGTTTTTATGCGTCCATGAATGAAACACAGAATCCTCTTCCCACTGATATCAGACATATGTGTGTGCGTGTGTGTGCACGTTTGTGCGTGTGTGTGCGTGTGATATAAGGGTTGTGACTTCCTGACAAAGAACCTCCCACTACATTTTAACAGATAAAGCAGCAGACAGATGACTTCATATTTCTAATTTCAGGAAATGACAGACATCTCAGCAGGCAATGTACACACAGTGTCCAGTGGAAACACTACAGACCTATGGGAGTCCCCAGCTACTAGTAAAGCTCGCATTGCCCAGCATGAATAAAGTTGGATGATCCATAGATTTCCTCCTTTTCACATTACCGTGCTTACATTTTGCTCATTCTGAGAGGTCTTCCAAGGAACATTCCAAAGGCAATGACTACGTTTAGGCAGCATCTATGGTCTAGGCTCTGCTTGGAACTTAAGGCACTTAAGAAAGATCTTCCAGGAATAACGATGTAGAGCCTGGCATTTAGAGCCCTTTCCTCCCATTCCTGGACATAGACAAATGTCCTTCTGAAATCTCCATCACAACACAGTTTGCAGAAGAAAACTAGTCAGATATGATTTCTGTAAACTACATCTCAGAGCATTGTTTCAAAAGAGACAGCAGGAAGGGGATGGGGCACTTCTTGGAAACCTCCAGGGATCCATCTTAAGAGCCACCAACATCACGTGTACACTCAATGCAAAGACACCTAAGTGCTCTTCATGGAGAAGTCCATACGTGTGCCCCAGTGTGCCCTATTCCTTTCCTAAACATCTCTTTTCTTAGTGACCCTGTGCTCAGGATCTGAGTTAAATCTTGATAAACCTTCAACACTCTATCACATTGACTGTCCCTGACATTCTTTCCTTCAAAGAAGCCACCCAGCCTAGCTTGGCCTGAATGGAGGTGCTTGTGGAAAGGGACGTCTGGAGGATTCCATCGGGGTGGAATGGAGCTGTGCCTCTGTCTCTGTGAGCACTTACAATGTCAGATCTGAATTGCTGCAAAGGTTGTGTGCTCTTCAACACCAGCTTTACCAAGATGTGGACCTTCCAGGGGATGGGGCAGGGGGGCATAGTTACCTGCAGGGGTGTAGGATGAAGTTTCTGTCACCTCAGCTGTAGTCTGATGTGGGTAAGATGTAGTGGGTTCTGGAATGAGAACAATGCAAGAACTGTTTCAGCTTTGGAGTTTGGACCCCACTGAGGAAAACAGAAACAAATCTTACCATTGCCTCTCCCAATGCCTACCCCAGCCTCCTAAGCAGGAATGACTCCTTCCTACTTATTTCCGTATCTGCTGACTCCTCTGAGAAATGTACCCAAAGATGGGCACTGCCTGTCATGGTCCCACTATCCTGAGCAAGTGAGATGTGTGTTCTAATATTCTAGACAACTTTATTGATCTTCAGGATTGCTTCACACTTCCCATTCTGGACTCCTGAACTCCTCTGAAGCATAGCTGCTATTAACACATGGAGAACCAGACACTCAGTTAAGATCATGATTTATCAAGTCAAGGATCATTTCACCTTCTAGGAAGAGGCTGGACGTTTCTCACCCCTCTTCACTGAAGCCTTAGTCAAGAACCAGATTCTTCACACTTCTTTCAGGAAGATGTGCTCACTGGACAGCACGGACTACATGGACCATTTCATCACTGAGACCTTCTCAAGGTAGCAGTATCACACTGGTGATGGTTCCCACACTGCAGTCTGCCTTGTATTCTTCTCTCTCTCTCTCTCTCTCTCTCTCTCTCTCTCTCTCTCTCTCTCCCTCTCTCTCTCTCAGCTTGCTGAGTAACTAAGACAAGCTGTCCTGCCCATATGGATTCACAAATTAACACTTCTATCTCAGTTTTCACTGAAGTCAATAACCTATCCATGTTCTCCAGACTCAGCCCATGAGAACATCCCCTGATGCAGGCAGAAACTAAGTCTTGAAAAGTTCTGCCAACTCTGAGAGATCCTCACAGTTCTTCAGTGTGTGCAGCTGCCTGGAACAAAGGGATTTTCTCAAAACTCCTATGCTATGCATAGAATGCTCATGACTGTGGAGTTCTGACCATGGAGTCAGAAGAATCAGCTTCCAACTCAAGTGAACAGGGACAGAGTCTGAGCCACTTTCTGTCTCCATAACTTCCACCATGAACTTTCTGACTCTGCCAGTTGCTGTCATTATAAAACAGGGACAGATCACAGCTATATAGGACACACGTGTCTGAGAATTAAACACTGCAACATAAAGCATGTAGCATGCTTGCCGGTTATCAGAAAATGCTAAATGTCAACTTCCCTGAACTATGACCTCAGTTGGAGGCCCAATTTCAAAATGGATAAAAGGGGCAAGGGTCTCCCTAACTTGACCCTTGTTCTCAGTCAGTCCTTAGTTTTTCATCAGAAAGTCGTGTCCAACTGGGCCAGATTCCTACCATCGCCATCAGCTCTCCTAGATCAATGACAGGCCTCAGTCTGGCTAGAGTGAATTCCGGGGAATCTGATATAGAGAGATGGCGTCCTTCATGTTCAAGCTTTTACACACCAGAGGGTGAATGCAACTTAAGACTGGAAAATTAGAGCATTTGTGAAGCTGTTGTTGGGACACAGCTAAGGACTCTTCTCCTCTATTATACTTCTGTCTTGACTCAGTGTCTGTGTGTTCAACAGACGCTTATAAGAGGGACTCTGGGTCCTGAACCACGTTGGGATTTACCTGGTGTGTGAGTCTGTGCGTGTGCTGGTGTTGTTGGAGCAGAGGTGGAGACTCTGGGTGATGCTGGTATATGTGTGGGTCCTGTTGACAGAGTCGTGGGTCTCTCTGTAGTCGTGGGTCTCCCTGTAGTCGTGGGTCTCTCTGTAGTCGTGGGTCTCTCTGTAGTCGTGGGTCTCCCTATAGTCGTGGGTCTCTCTGTAGTCGTGGGTCTCCCTGTAGTCGTGGGTCTTTCTGTAGTTGTGGGTCTTCCTGTAGTCATGTGTCTCCCTGTAGTCGTCGGTCTCTCTGTAATTGTGGGTCTCCCTGTAGTTGTGGGTCTTTCTGTGGTTGTGGGTCTCCCTGTAGTTGTGGGTCTCCCTGTAGTTGTGGGTCTCCCTGTAGTTGTGGGTCTTTCTGTGGTTGTGGATCTTGTGGGAATTTCTGGATTTGAAAATCAAGATAAAACAAGGATCATTCCAGCAAGAAGACAGAAGAGCTTAACTGTAACACCAGTGAGAAGCTGTCCAGAGATGCTCCTCTCCTTTGTCTTTGGCCAAGTAAGACAGGGCAGGGCAGTGGAGACAGCTCACCCACAGGAGGCACCTGCACCGACAGCACAGAGATGAGAACAGAGCCCGTTCCTAAGGACACTTTATAAATGACAGATGTGAGGTCCTCTGGTCTCTCAGCATCTCTGTGACACTGAGGGCATGGGGGACTGGGACTTCTCTCAGTGGTGACCAACTTCAACCACAGTTCCCAGGTCCAGAATGTTCTCTTCAGTCAGTCCTGAGAGAATACAGCACACACATCTCACACAAGTCCCAACTCAATCCAGTGTGTGTTTACCTTAAAATGAAGAAAACTGTAGTGTTCCTAGTGTAGGGAGATGGATGTGGACCATCCCCCTTAAATTCAACACATGTATTTATTCATTTATTTGTGTGTTGGTGAAATGTCACAATGTGGATGTCAGGGGAAAACTCTGCAGAGTCTGCTCTCTCCTTTGGCCATGTGGGCCCAGGGATTGAACTCAGGTCACCAAGCTTTACACTGGGCACCGTTCCCCACTGAGCCAGCTCACTGACCCTCCATCCCTTCGCTATAAAGAGCCAGATAGGAAAGTGTCTTGAGCTCAGGAACTAGAAAACAGGTGTTCAGGAGCAAGCACTATGCCCTTCGGGTTGAAAGTCACTTTGACAACACAGCAAGGAGTGGGTGTGGCTGTGCTGCGACAAAACTATACACATCAGCGAGTGGTCAGGTTAGTTTGCTGATAGTGTCTAATGTGCGGGCATAGGCATGAGCATAATGCAAACCTTCCCTGGAGAGTAGAAATCTCTGCAGGAGAGAAAAGCAAGCATGGAAACAACCTAGTCAGAAGATCACTATGAGACCAACTAAGAAGGAAACAACAGCTCAGGAGCTTTGCTGTTCTTGCTCTGGGGTGTTAGTCTCCCAGGTAGATGGGAAGTCCAAAAAAGCCATGAGGGTTCCAGGATAGCTAGAGATGGAGCTCCGGGTGTTAAACCAAGAGAAAATGGAGACTGAGTTGTTAAAGGGTGAGGCAGAGTTGCTGGCTCACTTATGGACTCACCGAGTGGTCACAGTGTCTTTGTTATGAATTTGTCTTCTGTTATGAATTTCTTAGCTTCATAAAACCTTGAATTAATGAACTGAAATTAGTAATTTTATTCTATGATGCTATGCCTATCCCCCTTCTGGTGCTGGGAATCTAATCTCAGGGTTTTAGGCAGGAATGTGTGTTAGACAAGTGCCTTTCCAAGCTAAACCTCAGCCTTTACTTGGTTATTGAGTTTGCAGCTCTAGGGACAGAAGTTAAGGCTTCAGACAGGCTAGGCAAATTTCTACATATCCCCTAGTGAGATTTTTCTTTAGCGATTTGTCTTTGTGTGTGTGTGTGTGTGTGTGCGCACGAGTGCATGTTTGCGTGTGTGTGTCTGTGTGTGTATCTGTATGTGAAGCTATTTTCATGTGAGCGATTCCCCTTGGAGTCCAGAGTCATTCAACTTCAGTCAGGTAAATAGTGCAATTTCACAACTGTGATGGGCACTTAGAATCTTATTGTCTCCTCCCCCAGCTGTCTCATCATTCTTTGCACACTCTATGATCAGCTTCTTCTGGCTTCCCTAAGTAGCCTCCCAGCCATACTTTTCAAGGCAGCTCCTTGCCCCATCAGAATGGACCTCACCCTAACAAGGTATGGTGGCACCTTCCTTTAATCTCAACACTGGTGAGGCTAAGGTGTGGACAAGGAGATCCAGACCAGCCTGACTTACAAAGCAAGACCCAGTCTTAAAATCAGTACATCAATCAGTGAACAGAGCCAGAATAATGGTTCAGTGGGTAGAGGCACGTGACTTGCAATCATTGCCAACTGGTTTGTATCCCTAGAACTCACATAAGGAGGGCTGGAGAGATGGCTCAGAGGTTAAGAGCATTGCCTGCTCTTCCAAAGGTCCTGCAACCACATGATGGCTCACAACCATCTGTATTGAGGTCTGGTGCCCTCTTCTGGCCTTCAGGCATACATGCAGACAGAATATTGTAAACATAATAAATAAATAAATTAATAAATAAATAAGAACTCACATAAGGATATAAAGAAAGCACCGACTTTGCAAGTTTTCCCTCTGATAAATTCACCATGGCATGCAAACCCACCAGACACACATCATCCACAACAGCCACATATTAATAAATGCAGTTTTAAAAATCAAAGTAAGCATACAAATAAAAAAGTCTATAATTTGAAAGACTTTAGAATAATATCCTTATTTTAAAAATATAGAGACAGATCAGTATTGATTTCTATTGGCTGTATAAGCCCTTGGTAAGTGGAGGTTAGAAACTTCACCAGAAGCCAGGAAGTCTTCACGAACCTACTCTTCTGGTCAATGCAAAGAAATCAGGATATGTAATTCAAGAAGGAGAATGTAAAGCCTGGTGGTGGTGGAACACTCTAATCCCAGCACTTCAGAGACAGAGGACCTAACCAAGATCGGAAGCCCCATACTATGTCACTTATGCTATGGTGAACCAAATCACATGACAGGAAACTTCCCTCCTGAATGAAAAAGGAAAGGAAAAGAAGACATGACTGTCTACCTATGGTGGAGGAGATGGTTTATCGTAGATATGAGGGAGAAAACAGAGGCACCCAGAAGGTTCCAGAGTGAACATGACCAGCTAACTGAACTGGTCAGGTGAGGAGAGGGGAAGCCAGGAGCCAAGAGTGGTGGCCAAGAGCTCAAGATCCCAAAAGGGCCTGTATAACCAAAATGGCTGGGTTATACAGGGAAGAGCAGGTGGGGGAAGGGGAGCCCAGCTGAGTCCGTGGGCTGGAGAACTGAGAGAAGGGGTGGGGTGTACCAGGTACTGGCCTTACTGAGAAAATGGTAGCCAGTGTCTGCTTTGATATGTTAGTAAACACCTTAGTTAGCCTTCATCCTGGGACCTTGCACCTAGGACCAGTACCACTAAAAGATTATAACAAGTCAGACTTTCCCCTTGCTCTGGGGGACCTGCCTGAGACTCCTCAGGGGGAATGCTGAGAGGATTATTTTGCAGGCTGCTCTGTGAGGAGGATCCTTTGTCTGCCCTGCCATTCCAGTAATGGCAGCTATCTCTAGTCCTCCTTATTCCCATCTCCCTCCCACATTCCTGCTCTTAATGAAGCTCCTCTCCAGGTTGTAAAGAGAAGGCCGTCCTTCCCTGGAAGCCTCTTCATACCCCATCAAGGGATGGACCTCACAGATTGTATAGTTTCTGTCTAATGCTCTCCCTCCCAGCTGGACATCCGATCTTGGCCTTGAGGCCTCCTCATTCTAACAAAGCTCACTGGACAGAATTGTGTGTCTGCCTCCTTTCTGAACTAACCGCTGTTGCTCATGCTATTACACTGCCGAGTGACCATGAACAGATATTGGAGGGAACACTCTTCTATCAGGACATTTCCATTGTTCAAGCAAAAACTTATGTGATAAGATATAAGACCTATTTTAAAAACCCAAGGCAGGCTTAGAACTCTCTTTGTCCTTAGAGGAAAACAGACAATATTAGCAAACAGAGGACTTAGTTCACTTGCAAGAAATAAACAAAGGAAACCATGAATGCTTACCTGGTTTAATGTCCAATGAATAGGTCACATAACTAAAAGATCCAGGGATTTCCACTATACAACAATAGGGACCACTGTCACTCTGAACAGCACTCTCTATTGTCAAGGACACGTTTCCTTCTGAAATATTCCCCTTTAGCTGGTATCGGCTGCTCCTCTGATAGGTGATGTGGTGTCCATTGGTCCAGATAAGTGTCCTGGCACAATAAAAAGACTGACACTCCCCGAGGCCCCAACATGTGGTAGTGATTTCGAGATGCATTGAGTAATTACACGGCAGTGTGACAGGGTCACCTGCGACCCCCTTCACTACTAAGGAAGAACCCACAGTACCTGGAATGCACAAAAGTGGGAGAGAAATGGAGAATTAGTACCCAACATTTTCCTAAAATTTTGATTTTATTCCTTTTCAGAAAAAATTTGGGGTGTTACTCTAGTGGAAATTAATTTAGGGTGTTATGAAACTGAGTCAAGTGCTAGCCCACTGAACTACAGCTCCAGCCCTTTGCTCTGGGACAACGCTCTTGTACACTGTAAAGATTTGTCACTCATATTGGTTTAATAAAATGCTGATTGGCCAATAGCCAGGCAGGAAGTATAGGTGGGGAAACCAGACTAAGAGAATTCTGGGAAGAGGAAAGGCAGAGATGAAGTCATCAGTCAGATGTAGAGGAAGCAAGATGAGGATGCTGCACTGAGAAAAGGTACCAAGTCACATGGCTAAACATAGTCAAGAATTATGGGTTAATTTAAGTTGTAAGAGCTAGTTAATAATAAGCCTGAGCTAATAGGCTAACCAGTTTATAAATAATATAAGCCTCTAGGACCAGGTGGAACCAAAACTTCTGTCTACAACAGTTCTTTATCATTGGCGTTTATGTGTGTGTGTGTGTGTGTGTGTGTGTTGGGGTTGGAAGGAATGATACCATAAGGTTTGTTGTTGTCATCCTTTGGTTTTCTGAACCAGGATCTCAGTTTGTATCCTTGGCTGCCCTGCAACTTGCTGCATAAACGGGGCTGACTTCCAAATTCCCAGAGCTCCACTGCCTCTACCTCCCCAATTCTATAATTAAATATCCAGTTTTACTGCTTGAATTTGAACACTGTAAATATTTTCCTGCTACCATATTCTTCCTCAGTGTGATCACTTAGTGGATACACTTGTGAGCAAAACAGCCTATCTTTGGCATGATATTCACTCGCTTTTTTTCTTCTCTTTTCTTCTTCAGTATGTATATTTCTTTTGGAGACAGGGTCTTGCTCTATGCCTCATGCTGGCTGAAAAATCACAATCCTCCCACCTCTGCCTCCTGAGTGCAGGGTACTTAGCATATGACAAGGAGACCAGCTCAAATGTTTCATCATTAAACATCTAAAACTTTATTTTAGAAGCTGGGTCCATGGCAACTCTTGTATACCTAGAACTCACTTGTAGTCCCAGAACTCGGGAGGTAGAGGGAGGAAGATGAGGAATTCAAGGTCAGCTAATTAATAAGTTCAAGACAGGCTTAGGTTTTAGAGACCCTGTCCCAAACCATCTTTCCTCCTCCCCCACAGGGCTGTGACAACAAAATCACTAACTCTTCCCCACTTCTCATCAAAGAGCAGAGCCAGGGCTTTAGAAAAGCATTGTTGGCTCCAAGGCAGAAATTTAGCAACTTCAAAATCAATTGGCAGAAAGGGTTTGAGAAAACCACCAGGAGGGGCTGAGGCTTATTCTGAACTTTATAATTAGACCTTAACACACACACACACACACACACACACACACACACACACACACACACACGCACACACGCACACAAAGTAGAGGTCCCTTCTTAAAAGTTGGTGACATTCCAGAAATTGAGCAAAACCTACTTGGAAGTCAGACCACATAGTCAAGAAGTATGCAACCAATAAATTAATGATGCAATTTAAAAAACTGAAATAATTAAATATAATTCTTTTGGTGATGATGGAATAGAATTCCCAATACCAATAGCTTCCACAGTGGCCTTGAAAGCAACTCTGAGGGCTGAGTATGGAGCTCAATGATACAGGGCTTGGCTAACCTATGCTATTCCCTATGGTGGATCCTAGCACTGGAGACAAACCAATAAGCAAACAAAAGCACAGAACAATGGGCTGTGGTTTTCCCTAACTACTCACCTGAATGCAGATCTAGGCTGTGAGTTTGGGGTATGATTTAGAAAACACCTTCCTTGTTCTATAAAATGACTTTATTTCTTTTTTTTTTATTTTTATTTATTTTTTTTTTGGTTTTTTTTTTTTTTTTTTTTTTTTTTGAGACAGGGTTTCTCTGTGGTTTTGGAGCCTGTCCTGGAACTAGCTCTTGTAGACCAGGCATGACTTTATTTCTTGCTAGGACACTCATTACTTGATTTTGCCAAATACTGTTATTGGTTGTTTTCTTATGCTTTTGGCTGTTTTGCTCTTTAGGGGCCTACCACCGAGCTACCAAATAAATCACATGGAGTCTTACTATTACTTATAAACGCCCAGCCTTTGCTTGGCTTATTTCTAGCCAGCTTTCCTTAACTTAAATTATCCTACCTACCTTTTGCCTCTGAGCTTTTTCCTTTTCTTACTTCTGTATATCTTACTTTCACTCCTACTTTGTGGCTGGCTGTGTGGCTGGGTGTCTGGCCCCTAGCGTCCTCCTCTCTTTGTTCTCTTGCTCCTCTCTTTTTCTCCTTCTATTTATTCTCTCTGCCAGCCCCGCCTATACTTTCATCTGCCTATCTATTGGCGGTTCAGCTCTTTATTAGACCAATCAGGTGTTTTAGACAAAGTACCACAGCTTCACAGAGTTAAGCAAATGCAGCATAAAGGAATGAAACACATCTTGGCAACATTAAACAAACGTTCCACAGTGTAAACAAATGGAACACATCTGAAGATAATACAATAAAACACCTTTTAGGATCACACATGCAACTCATACTATTTTAATTAAGTCATAGAAATCTTTTATTTCTCACCAGTGATCTCAGCTCTTTGGAGGTAGAGGCAAGAGGAGCAAATGTTTGAGGTGATCCTCAGCCATCTATGAAGTCAGAGGCTAGCCTGGACTAACTTAGAGCCTGCCTCAAAGACAGTTATGTTTGTTGTTCCTTTTTCTCCCTTTAAATAGAACACTTTGAATTAGAATGTTTTTAAGATAAATAACTGGAAATGGTTTTAGAAAGAAAAAATGCAGAAAGAAACGGCATGAATGCTGACTTTGAGCAGTCATCATGCGTGGAAAGCTCTGTTTTTAATATTTTATGAACATTTGACTATAATATGTGTTCATGTACACTCACCTTGACTTCCCCATTACATGCATGGACATGCAATCAATCATCCTTACTTCTCCATCACATGCATGCACCCGCACTCATCCCTACATGTCCATCACATGAATGCATGTATTTTCACCCGTTTGCCTGGCATGTTCTTGGGGATCAGGTTTAACCAACCATAAGTTTTGAAATTCATATAGATTAAGCAAGTTCACTGGAGCTATAATTTAACCTGATTCTCTGCTCAAAAAACCTCAAATGTTTGTCATCGGTTCTGACACCTCTAGCCTCCCCAGCATCCCCCAGCTCATCCACTCACTTACCTGAGAGAAGAAGTATGAGGCCAGAAATGAAGACTTGAGGCTGCATCATGGTGCTGACCTGGAGGACAAGGAGAAGACGCTCTGGTTGCTGTGGCCCTCAGCACGCTGTACTCAGGCAGTTCTTTATTCAACTGTGTTCTCTTGGTAGAATTTTTAAACAAAGACCAGCCCTCTAATGGCAAAGATGCACCAGTAGAAGGGCCTCCTGATGCTGGAGGGAGAAAGAATGCTAAAGGTCAGAGTCAAAGTTGTCCAAGGTGTCTTAGATCTTTGAATTGCCATTAGTTACTAAGTTCTAAGTTCAGCTTCTTCTTCTTTTTTCTTGTTTTGTTTGTTGAGACAGGGTTTCTCTGTAGCTTTAGAACCTGTCCTGGAACTAGCTCTTGTAGACCAGGCTGGGTCTCCAACTAAGAGATCTGCCTACCTCTGCCTCCCTTGTGCTGGGATTAAAGGCGTATACCACCACCACCCAGCTCTAAATTCAGCTTTTAGATAAAAAGCTTTTAGATAAAACTTGAAATGTAGGCTGGGTTGGCTTCAGCTAGCTTCACCCCCTGAGTCTGGGAAGGCAATAAATGCAGCATCTTATGACCAGAAATCTCTTTGCCTTGCTGTAGCCCCTGCCTCATGAGCCACCAGTGGGGTTGGTTGGTAGGCTGGTTGGCCTTTTTATTTATTTAGTTATTTTTGTAGGATCTTACTGAACCTGGAGCTTGTTCTGCCTCAGGTTGGTCTCTCACTTATAGAGACCCTCCTCCTCAGAATGCTGGGATTACAGGCCTGACCCAACACACCCAGCCCTCCCTCTGTGCTTTGTATAAACACTGACTCCTGGCTTCCATTTCTGGGACTGTTAAGGTCTACACTTGGCCTGAAACTCCAATTTCTAGGAGGCTGAGGGAGGAAGAGCATGAGTTTAAGGCTTATCTACGCTCTCTGGGTAACTTAGTGAGACCTTGTCTCAAAATCAAAAGTGGGAAAATGAGTTTGGAAGACTCAGGGCTAGGATTTGCCAACATGCTGTGATTAGGGTTTTTTTTAATGATAAAATAAAAATTATAGAAGCTGGGGAAACAGTCCAGCTGGTAGACAATTTCCCCAGCAAGCAGGAAGCCCTGACTTTTACCATTTATTTCCTCGGAGGAACTAAGCCTGGAGGTGTATTATCAGCAGCTGTGAAAAGGATGCTTGGAAGGTCAAGGTCATTGGCCTTGATGCTTCAATTCTAAAGAAAGCCTGAATTTTGAGGGGCCGCGTCTACCCAGGTCGTAGTAGCCTTGCACTCCGGGACAGAGGCAGCCAGGTCTCTGTAAATTCAAGGTCAGCCTGTTCCACCACTCCCTTACACCTGGAATGTGAGGGGAAATACCAGGTCAGACAGCCAGACAGCCTGAGGGGACTCAGTTCTCCAAATCCAAGAAGCTGCAGTCTGGGGAAGGCGTGCGCTGCTTCTCAACATAAATAAATACATTTTAAAATCTTCTCAAGCTTTTCTCTGAATATCTCTCCTAAAAGTTACAGAACTCAGTGTCTCCCCAGTCATTGGAAAATGAAATCCAGGAGCTGCAGAGGTGGTTCAGTGGTTAAGCGCACTGGCAGCTGTTCCAGAGGACTCCGGCTCAATTCCCAGCACCCACATGGCAGTTGACAACTGTGGATAGCTCCAATTCCAGGGGACCTGACACCCTCCCACACACATGCATACAGACAAAATATCAATGCACATTAAATAAAAATAAATAAATCACTAAAAATTTAAAAAGAAAAAATGAACACCAAACTCCAAAAGCTACCCTCCAGCCCACACTGGTCACGCCTTTCCCCTCTCCAGCACTCCAACTAAAGCGAACTTTGCTTCTGGCCTTGCCGAGCTCCCAAACCTAACACAGAACCTCAACTCCCAGCAGCTTTTATGAGGCTTCCCCTTTATTCTCCAAACAAATTATTTCCTACAAATATTTTTACTTTACAAGACTCAAAAGTAAGAATAGCACTGCAGCTATATCTCTGCCCTAACTTCCTCTTTCTCATTTTCACATTATATACAATATTACACAGTACTCACAGACACCAGTTGTACCAAACTGTTTTCTACAGCTTTCTTCTTAATTTTCATGTTAACTTGGCTTAAGAAGGGCTTTAACAGACTTTGTAGACTCTCCTTTCTGAGGAGTGAATGGGGGATTGGGTGGAAGGAAGGTATGTGTGTGACGGAAGGGCCGGGGGGGGGGGGGGGGGGAGCAGGAGGATGTGAGGGAGGGGGAACTGTGGTTGGTATGTAAAATATAATCAAATATAATCAAAAAATAAAAGTTGCCTTAATGTCTAGAGATCTGCCTCCCCTTGTCGTAATGTCCTCCACACAAACCCACATGTGGTACAGAAACTCTTCTCTCCTGCATGAGTCTGCAGAAGACTGTACTTACCAGTTAGGTAGGAGAGCCACAGCTTCTGGTAACAGTCTCTCCTTCTAGTCCTTTGCTACTGCTGAAGGCTTCCAGTGCTGCCAATGGATAGAGGAGTCTCTCCCAGAATTCCATTCTTATCTCTTGGCCACACCTTCAAGTATTTTGTTTGAAAACTGTTTCTCATTGGTTCTATAGTCTTTCACCGATAGCATCTGTTTACTGGCTTAAATACTTAAAATAGCACTCAGAGTGACTAATGTGGTGCACACCTTTAATCCCAGCACTTGGGAGACAAAGGCAGACAGATCTCTGTGAGTTTGAGGCCAGCCTGGTCTACAAGAGCTAGTTCCAGGATAGGCATCAAAGTGACAGAGAAACCTCGTCTCGAAAAAAAAAAAAAACCAAAAAAAAAAAAAAATAGAACTGAGGAAGTAGAGGCGGGCTGATCTTGTGAGTTCCAGACTAGCCTGGTCTATATAGAGAGATCCTATTTCCAAAACAAATAAACATACACACACACACACAAACAAAAAAAAAAAAAAAAACAAGAATCAAATCTTGGTTGGAATGTCTCAACAGCCTCAGCAAAGGTCCTCACCTGAGTGCAGACTCCAGGCCTGGAGATCATGCCGACTCTAAGATGGTTCCTATATAAAGGGAACTTAAATACCTGGACAAAACTTGCAGAGGAATAAAGTGAAAGGCAGAAGAGACATAGAATACAGACAGAGCCCCGTGAGGGTCCCGGTGCAGAGGCAGAAGAGACATAGAATACAGACAGAGCCCCGTGAGGGTCCCGGTGCAGAGGCAGAAGAGACATAGAATACAGACAGAGCCCCGTGAGGGTCCCGGTGCAGAGGCAGAAGTGAAAGCTGACTCCTTATACTCACTGGTCTGCCATTCAGCTACCATCGTCCTAACACATGTTCATTACAGCCCATGTTAATAGTGGAATAGTCTCAGCAAATGAAGGCAGACGAGAGTCTCTGCTTGCAGAAGTGAGGGAGAAAGGATGCAACTTCCAAAGCTGAGTTTTCTATGCCTTAACGTCACTTTCAGGTCTACTAACTGACCCCTGCAGGTTTCCAGAGTTGGTTTTTTGTTTTGTTTTGTTTGTTTGTTTGTTTTCGAGACAGGGTTTCTCTGTAGATTTGGAGCCTGTCCTGGAACTAGCTCTTGTAGACCAGGCTGGCCTCGAACTGATCCGCCTGCCTCTGCCTCCCAAGTGCTGGGATTAAAGGTGTGCACCACTATCACCCAACAACAAGGCTTCCAGAGTTGGGTAGTTGTGCAATACAGTGTTGTGGAGTGTTCACTAGAGAAGACTGTTGGACATGGGTTTAAGCCAATAGAAACTCTTTATCCCAGTGTACTACAGAGCCTTTCTCAGAGTGAGCCTGTAAGCACAAAACCACGTTCTGGTTTGACACACTTCAGTAAACAAGAACAGTTAGCCAGAAGTGGAACTACAGAAACTGAAAAGCAAGGTCACAACACTTAGAGACTTTCCCAGAACTGTGAGTTGTGTGTTGTGATGGATTAGGCCTTTTGTTAAATTGGGAGCATAGCTCCCAGTCCCTGGCCTGGGAGTTGCATTGCTCTGGACTCTAAATCCCAACATGCCAGGTCATGGCCTCTCCCTGGGGTAGGGGTCAGGATCACTCCTACAGGGTATTTAAGTGAGCTCCCAGAGGAGAAACACGTAGTTTTCTGGTCTATATGGGCTCCCTGCCATATGCTTACTCCCCGAAGAGCATCATTCTTAATAAAATGATGGACATTTTGATTTGGTTTGATTCAACCTAATTGGATTTCTTGTGCCACCAGAGTTGCCTCCTTTTTAAATCACCTTTGTTTTAGTTTTGGCAGGTGTTATTGTCTATGTTCTGAGATTTACAGCCTGATTGGCACTTCCATCATGGAATCAGTTGTGCTAAGGTCTCAGAGCCTGCTAAGGTCTGGGACCCTGTTATGTTCCCCACTGGTCTTAGTGAATGAATCTAATTGTTGACTCATCCTGTTTGAAAGATGTGTTGTTGGTTCTAAGAACCAACTCAGAGCCACAAGAGTAGAGAGAATCACCATGTAGAGTCCTTTCCACGCTGGTCTTATTTCCCCTTTTGCTACCTGCTTGACCCAGACACTATCACTAGGCTGAAACAAGGAGAAACTGGTGGTGGATTTGGAGATCAGATGGGTCTCTGGGGTATTCTAATGAACAGCCTGTGTGGAGGACTAGAGTGATTGGAGGGACAAAGGGATGGTTAGACAGTTCTGCTGGTCAGAGAGTCTAGGAAGCAGTGGGAGAGGTCTTTCCAACATAATCTCATAGGTGGTAAATCCCTCCCTGCCTGGTGGAGTGTTCCAATGCAAAGCAAAGAGGCCTATCCCTTTTTTGTTGGACTCTAATGAGAGCTTTGTTAGAGTTGGGGTGTGTGTGTGTGTGTGTGTGTGTGTGTGTGTGTGCACGTGCGCGCACGCGTGTGTGTGTCTGTATCTGTAAGTCTTGTTTATTCTTTTAACCTGACCAGAACTCTGAGGTCTAGATGCACAATAAAGTCTTTAATCTATGTTTAAACCTTAGCTATTATTTCAGACATTTTGGCTTTGAAAGCCAGACCATTGTTGAACCTCACTGTTA